ACAAAAGTTTAATTTCTTACGAATGTAGTTAGCTTATAAAATATACAAGATATATCTTCTGCGCTATGTACAAATAGCTTTATTTATCATTATTTTGCAAATCGATATGCAAAAAGTATAAATTAGAAATTATTTTTTAAAAAGCTATACTTTATTTTTATTTATTTAAAATTCATATAAGTAGATAAATATATAGATAGATAAGTTGATAAAAAATAAATAAATATATAATAGATAAGATAGATAACAGGTACGCATATAGACAAATAGACAAATATATAAAGTGGACACCAGGCAAAAGGAGATAGGATAGATAAAGAGCAGACAAATAGGCACACAGAAACAAAAAAATATAAAAGAAAAATTAAGATACATATAGGTATTACGTATGCTGCACGCAATATACATACATTTTGTGTGTATGCAAAAATATATTGAATGCACAAACTGTGTATATATAAATATACATATACACTTTAAATGTGTATAAAAAATTAATTTTAATCGATACTAAACATTTTTCATAACTTTTGAAACTTGATTCCTCTCTCTCTGTTAATCGACTAGCATAATTGCATTGTATCTTTTTTTAATATAATTTTCATGTATATGATCTGTTTTTAATGGATCGGTCATTTTATTCTTGTATTTTATTCTTAAATTTTTTTTTAGTTTTCAGTTATTTAAAGAAAAAAAAAGAAAAAATAATGAATGATAAAAATATGTTTTTTGCATTTATATTATAATTTAAATATATTGCATACTGTCGATTCAGAGAGAAGCATTGCAAGAATTCGACAATCATGCCAACTTCTTTTTTTCATGTACTAACTTTTTGTATAAATGTGTCACATGTAAATATTTATTATTTCTACTGTATGATGAGAATATTAAATCATAATCGCTTCGGCTGACTAGTGAATTATTATGCAATATTTGTTTTTTTTCCAAGTTGGAGTATAAAATCAAAACATTTACATAATAATACTATTATTGCTTATATCTATTTTGCTTATATATTAACAAAATAATGCTAAATAGTTTTTTTTTTAAATATTATTCATTGTTCAGCCGATCCGAAAGAATGCGAGATGCAATTTTTGGATTTTTTATAATTTGTTATTTAATATAATGGATGTTATAGAAATGTTTTCTATATTTAAAGTTATAAGTTTTCTGTTTTTTTTTGGTATTATTAACGTGTAAGCTTATATCTTAAATTAAATACTTTTTTATGATAATAAAATGACTTGTTACTTTGTTTTATATAACACTTACACTCTCTGTAATCCATTTTGAATTGAAAATTTAATTCCTATTATTCTTTTTATTATTAAAAATAATAGTTGTTAATAATATTATATTGAATAATGAAAAAAAAAACATAGATTTCAAGTAAGAAATTGAAAAAATATTTAAATGATATAAAATGTATAAAATAAATTCGATTATAATGCAAAATTTTTTGAAAATCAAATAATTTTTAGCAATAACAATAAGAATTGTTATTATAATATATCTAATCTTAAAACTTGATCTTTTCTACTTTAAAATGTTGAACAAGTGATAAAAATATTGAAGAATACATTTAAAAAAATGAAACATATAAAAATGAATGAGTTAATTCTTTAAATAATTCTTATGAAAGTAAATGATTGTTAATAAATTGGAGAATAATGAATATATACAGCAGGCAAGATTAATTCTATTTGTTTGCTTGCTTATATGTTTGTTTATTTATTGTGTGCATGTGTATGCGTGTGCGTGTATATATATATGTATATATATATATATATACTTATTTATTTATTTATTTACTTATTTTATTTATTTATTTATTTCATTGTTGTATGTCATATAATATTTTTGTGTCGTATATTGCAATTATCATAAATCAAATTTGAAAATAGGCTTTAAATTATTATAACAATATATCTTAGATAATAATTGAAGCGCTCCCTGGAATCAATAGAGCTGAAAACTCTCGCAACAATTTTCACGAACTTTTATCGAAATTTACGCCTGTATATGTAGGGGACCGTTTCAATTACGATATCATCGCTATATATATATATATTGAACACTTGTTGAAATCCCCCCGTTAAGAAAGATTTTCAAATGTTCAATTAAAATGAACATTTCTTATACGTATTATCGAGTGTTCATCTAATAGAATACTTAATACATCATACTAGTTTCAGCCGAAACAGCAGATGACGTTTACTATTTACCTTCCATTTCCTATAGTTACGTTATGCGTAATAATAACCATAATATAATGATAAACATTATTACCACCACAGAGCATTAATAGTGTTATAATAGCACTGTTGCTAGGGACGCATGAAGATATATTTATGTGACGGCGGCCCCACTACCTGTTTAATGCAATGAACGATACTCATTCATCCGAGTAAGATTCATTATACACATACATAATATTCAGTGTAGTATCATTACATTATATATTAACTCGTATCAGCATATTTTTCTTCATATTGTTTTTTTTTTATTCTTCTCCTATGTTCTTCTTTTGTATTTAAAGAAGATCTTAATTGAACGATTTCGAGACATCCGTTGATTTTGTTTTGGCCAAGTATGTTGTATTTGTTTATAAAGTTAATTATGACGTTTTTCTTTATTTATCGCTCTTTTTTTTCTTTCACTCTTTTTCTCAATTGTTTCTCTTTATTACACTTTAACATAAACATTCTTGTATAATTTTCATAATTAGCGATCGCTTATGATTGTTTTTCGCTATGATTTTTACGTCAACAAAAAATTAAAATGAAGAGAAATTAAAAAAATTAAACGCGAAATATAGCTATCATATATATTCGACATAAAATAGCAGAATTTCTAATATGAGATCATTATCAATTGTATCTGTTGTGACATATCGTAATATTTCTGTCGTTTTTTTTTTTTTTTTAATTTTTTAATAATACAAACCACATATATATAAAATAAAAATTATCATTCTTTTCCTTTCTTTTTCTTCTTTTTTCTCTTGTTTTAGATTTGATAGTATATGTGAACAGGAATATTCAAGGAAATGGCAATGAGAAGATACAATTGGATAAACGAGAAGCACACCTAAAAGGAAATGATATAGTATAGTAATAAAGAAATGTAATGATATAGTGGGAATTAGTGATAAGATGGTGATAGTAAGAAAGGGAAAGAAAAGGAAAATTATGTTCATGATATTCTGAAATTGGAAACAATTTTCCAAATCTTTCGTTTCTTCTTCATTTTTTTTCTTTTGAGATCAAAGTATATATTATCCAATCAAAAACAAAAATAACTCTTTTTGATACGACAATAATAATATTATTATTGTTATTATTATGTATTATTTAATCAATATAACATTATTTAGCTATCCCTGTGGTAAATCGAAGCTTTTATTTTCGCACGCAGGACAATTGAAACAAAGCTTTTTAATTTGATACACGAAATTCAAGGAACAGAAAAAAGGACAGGTTTTAATTCGAGATGTACTGCTACAGATGAAGCGAAAGCTGATGTAATTATCATATGCGCATCTGAATTTATTATGATGAATGTCTATCAAATATTGTAAAGTTTGAATCTTGTAACTTGGATAAATCGATTCACCGAACGATCACCATAGGAAAAAGTTTTGTAAATTGTTCTCGACATTTCATAATAGGTCAAAAAGTTGGTTAGACAATGATCCTGGAGTACAGAAGTAGTGTGATCGAAATATGATCGAAAACGAATTGAAAACTACTATTTTGTTTTGTTTCAATCTCACCTGACTATCTTTTTTTTTTTTTTTTTTTTTTTTTTTTTTTTTTTTTTTGCTTCATATTTTTCCACATCGTATTCAATATTTGCTTGTATTGCATAATTATATTAGACAATAGTAATAAGTTGTAAGGATTTACCATCTTAGCACCTAATGTGACAAATAATATGGAATCTGTTTTGTAATGGATATAATTAGGATAATAATATAATTTAAGTATCTAAAAACAATGCTTCGTATTCCAGTTACATCTATTTACTACTTCGAATTCCAGGTTTTATTTCATATCATCCAGGTAAGAAAGCGAAGTCGCCTTCACAAAAATTTCTCCCTGTTTTTTCTTTTTCTTTTTAATGAGTCCATTTATTCCATGCCTGCAATCAAATTATTACATAAATGAAATAGTAAAATAGATTAAAATATATTTGCTTATTTATAAATTTATAAACAAAAATGGAACAGTGTACAATTACAGTGTACAAATTATATTATTATATTATATTCCATAATATATTATAATAACATATAATACCTTATAAAATATTCATAATATAAATATAAATAATCGATAAGAGATTTTATTCAATTCCTTTTTTTAATTTCAATTTTAATAATAACTATTCTAATTTTATGTATAATAATTTATATAACATACCGGATGTTGTTTATCTTGCACAGCATCTGGTATTCCCCATGCTGGTGGATCCATTTTATTTGTTTCATTCGGAGGAATTTCTGTCAATGTAGGCGTTCCAAATTGTCCTGGCAATAATGTTAATCCTGGCATTAGCGACAAAGTAGTTGCGCTTCCATTAGGAAAAGGTTGTTGTTGAGTATCAACGTGACCCTGCATATAAATTAAAATAAAATTATTAGATAAATAAAATTAAATTTAAAAAACATGCATATAAATTTAAAAGAAAATTTTTAAAAAATGAAAAAAATAGAAAAAATAAGAAGAAATATGAAAAAAAACATGAAAAGAGAAATGAATAAAAAATGAGTGTCAAAAATATAAAAGTTTACCTGAAAAGAAGATTCCATCATTTGATGTAATTCAGCATCAACATTGGATATACGATTATAAGTAGCATTAGATCGAAACATTTGATGCCTATCTATTCCTGGTGCTAAACTTGCCCAAGATCCAACAAGTTTTTCATTATTTAACATCCAATTGATGGAATCGGCATCGCCACCAGGTCCCATCCCTGCTGTTGCATAATTTTTCCATGCTCTTTCTGTACCGATCGGTCGTGGTACCTTACGGTCCTCTATTTTAAGCTGATTCATTTCCTGAGCTACTTGTGCTGGCGAAGAAGGTGATATAGCTGGTGACCCACCATTTTCTAAGCTCGTAATTAAATCGATGCTTCCAGGTTGTGCGGTTATGTTTGCCAAATGATTGGAGAAACTAATTTGGCTTATCATTGGATCTTGATGGGGTGGATAATTATTGTGCGGCGGAGCAAATGGCCAACGAGTTTGTCCATTGGTTGAGATTCCGGTATTTCCGGGAGTGGCCCGAGATGGTGCTTGATATTTTCCCAAAGGAAAATTTCCAAGCATTGCTAGATTATTAGATTGGATTGCGGACGGAGGGGGTGGTGGTACAGTAGCAAACATATTTGGATGCATTCCCGCCGCCGGCGAACCCGCATTAAACATTGTCACTTGAGGTTTGCTATTTAAATGTAGCGAACTAGAAAAATCAGGCGCTCTAGGATTTAACCTGGACATACTGACAGTAGTGTTCACCGAAGCAGATGGTGAAATTGTTTGTGTGAAATTTTGCATATGTGGATGAAAAGGTAAAAGTGGATGACCTTGCCCTTCATTCGGTACCATCTTTAGTAAACTTGAATTTACATTTGGATGTTCATAACCAATATTATTTCCTTTAAACAAACCTACGTCCAACGTTGGTTGTGACGTAGAGGCTATCACGTGCGGCTGATGAGTTGTTGTATTACGAGTTCCCGTCAATTCTCCTTGAAATACTGGCCTACTAAATTGTGCTCCCATAGCTGCTCCCATTTCTATATTTTGTTGAGGAATCACTGGTCGTGCTACTGCCAAACTACCAGGTGGTTTATTTGAAAGAGGATGTTCGCTGTAATTTCCGGATGACTGAAATTGCGGTGGTTGAATAGGATTATGGCCTGTATTTGATGATACGCCACCACTTCCTATACTAGTCACATTCGTGTTAGTTGTATTGTTTGATTTACTTGAAACAGGAGAACACATTGTTGTTCCTCGATATCCAGGAGCTTTTGAAGCATCTACCTATATGAACAGTGAAAAAAAAAATTATTAAAATATCTGTTAAAAATTATAAAATGTTTATTTTACAATTGTGATTATTAAAAGAACAAGAGAAAAAAATAAAAAATGAAAGTATAATTAACAGCTAACCTGAGGAGGTACGTTGTCAATAAATTTAGATGAAGATGAACCCGAGATATTTACGGACACTCCACCACCTCCAGCTACAGTTGCAAAATTCATACCCTTTTGAGATTCATTTTCTCGGCCGCCCCACATTGACTGTTGCGTAACTTTAGTAAAAGTATCATTAAATAATGAATATTCAAGAGGTGTATTATTCGTCTGTTGTTGTTGTTGTTGTTGTTGTTGCTGTTGCTGTTGCTCTTGAATTGTCGATGCAATTGGTGGCGAACTACGCGCTTGTTGTTGTTGTTGTTGTTGTTGCTGCTGCTGTTGCTGTTGCTGTTGCTGCTGCTGCTGCTGTAATTGCTGTTGACACTGTGATGATATCGGGGGCGACGGACTAACTCGTATTGACGAGTTTGAACAAGTTGAAGTAACAGTACTTTCCGAACAGTATGCAACCACAGTGCTTGTTGCTGGCGAAACCGCCGCATTTGAGCCGGGAGAATAAGTAGATTTTCCAGAGTAATGAGAAACCATAGTTGGTGGAGCAGACAAAGTAGGCAGTGGTCGGCAGTGTTTTGGCGATGTATTGACTGCAGACTGTTGAGATGAAGTCTGAGCCATTGCCGCGGCTGTAGCTGATACAACAGTCACTGTATTTGCTTGCAACGATTTTTGTTTGTTTACCGTAGTATGAGTGGATTGCATGACGGTAGTAGATGTATGTGTTGAGGCAGTGATTTCAGATAATTTCGCTGCAAATGTTTGCGTAGTACTTGTCGTTACAATTTTAGTTGCTCGTCCAGCAGTCATAATTGCACTCGTATATGACATTGTCGTCTTTGTATTTGATGACGAAGCCATTTGAGCTGCTACAGCTTGGGCTCGTTTTTCAGCTGCAACAAATATATATAAAACAATATATTAATCAAATATCTATTAATTAATGAATATTTTTTTTGCTGCGATTATCTGCAATTTTTTTATATATATTAAGTTGATTAATATTATTAATATTATAAAAAAAAAATAATTTGTTATTACCTGCAGCTACGAGTCTAGGTGCCGTTGCACGTGGTAAAGGTGTTGGAAATGCTCCAGTAAGTTTAATAGTAGATGATGATCGAAGTGGAATTAACTGATTAACGGTAGACACTCCAGATGTATAATTAGATTTATTAATTTGCGTGCTACTGGAACTAGATGTTAGACTTAGAGGTTTATTTATAGGACCCAACTTTGCTTTACTCGACTAAAATTAAAATATATGTGACAAATTAGAATACGGATCGACTATCTTTTAATCTTTCAAATTTTGCTATAATATATAAATTTTTCAAATATTTATATAATAATTTGATATAATAATTTGGTTGATCTTACAGCTACAGTAGATATTGTTTTATCCCAAGAAGAAGTTGTAACAACTGCCAATTTTGATTTTGGAAGCATTTGCAGTATGTCAACATCTGGATCCTTAATGAGAGCAGCTATTAATGTATGAGCTTGTTTTGTTGCATCAGATGATCCTCTAAAAATAATAAAAACAAAAATTAAATAAATCATATATTATTCTAATATATTTAACAAAAATTAATAATAAAATATGCATACTTAATGGTAATAATTCGTTCACCCTGACATTTGCTTTGTTTTTCAACTTCAATATGCGCTCCTGTTGCACCTCTAATAGCATTTATATTACTTCCGCCTCTTCCAATAACTCGACTAATAGCATTTGGTGGAACAGATACTTTTTTTGAACGGAATGGTGAATTCATAAATCTTCCAGAATCATCAGATTGTCCCCTATTTTAGAAATTGTTTTAAATTTTTATTTAATAATTATATCTCTATATGATAATATAAGTTATAAGAATAATACCATTGATAATTTAAATAATATTTCTTACTTTCGTACAACTTCTTTCCAGCCTTCTTCGCGTTTACCACCCTGCTTAGGACTGGTTGTATTATTTGTCTTTGCAGAAGTATTTAATGCATCGCCATCATATTGATTATTATAGGATTTCTTGCCTTTACCAGGCACATACGTTTCATTACCAGTTGCTTCGAAGTCTTCTCTATCGGCAGGATGTCTCGACGATTCAAACACTAGTTGACTTTTCAATTTTCGTTCATTACAGTTTACAGTCGAAGACCTAGAACTCATTGTAATAGAAGTCGCAGATACAGATACTGTATTAGATGCATTATTTATAATTCTCCTGAAAAAATAAAAACATACAAAAAATTAAAAAGTATTAAAAAAATTTATATATGTATTCAATTTGCAATAAATATTGTT